CCCCAAAACCCCAAAACCCCAAAACCCCGTTTATTAGTAATTAATACAAATTTGAAAGAATAATTATAAATATTATAAAATAATGATGAAAAAAGTAATGCACACTGAAAGAGATCTCTCTGGGGTCAAGATAGATCATTCAATGTAAGATTTATAGGAAGGTATGATATATTAGATCTCAGATTAGATTCATTCCCCATTTTTAATAGGTCATGAATACATAATGACTTTCAAAGATGTCTCAGTAATCGTGGATAATGAAGAATATGAAGGTGACATCCTAGAAAATGTTGATCTGCAGAGTTCATTTAGACAAAGACTAAAGATGAAGAAGCAGTCAGAGAATAAGGGTGGGGCTAATAACGATTTGAACGGAAAAAGAATACTGCCTTAGTACGATGAGGACGACGAGGATGAAGTTGAGAAAATAAGAAATAGAATCGTGCTCTCAGCTGACGGGGAATAGGGCCTGAACAAGGATCAAAGACTTGAGGAGTTGAGAGAGAAACTAAACCAGAAAAGCAAATAAAAGATCTCACTTGACATTAAAAAGGTAAAAATAATTTACTAATTTGTTTATCAGAGCATAGGATCAGATTATTTGCAAGCTCAAGACTTTGTGGATCCTGATGAAACTGATGACAGCACAGTCATAAGAATGAATGGAAGCAACACTGGGACTGGCTTTAAAAAGATGAAGAAGACTAAGATTCTGAAGAAAAGGCAAGCTGATGAGGACATTATAAGCCTACTTGAGAAAACTACTGAGGAAAACGGCAAAGGTGCATCTGGTCTTGGAACCAGAGAACAGAAGCAAAAGGAGCTTGAAAATGAAAGGTAAGTTCAATTTATCACTTTCTTTGACTCAAGTATATATGTAATTATCCTAGATAAATATAGGTTGAAGAGGAAGATCAGAGAAAGCGAAACTTCAAGAATGCTACCATGAAGAATAAGAGAGTCAAGTATGACAATAAATAAGATGAAGAGGTTGAAGATGAATACTAGATGATTGAAAATTAGCTTGAAAAATAAAGATAGAGGACTTTGAGAGACTAGAAACTCAAAGGTGATGATTTCATTAAGTCAGTTTTAGAGTAAAAACCTGAAGCTAACAATAATATGGCTTAATCTCAAAACGAAGAGATATAGATTCTACCAAGTGCGAGTGTGAATAAAAATGATAAGGTGGAGATCATCCAGAGCATTACAAAGGATATTCCACTTAATAATATTCAATAATCAAATGGCTCTTATGCTAATGGAATCAATACCACTTTAAATGTTGGATTCTAATCATTATCACAAGCTAAAGGAGGTTTCACCAGTGTTGTAAATGTCACTTTGCCATCTCAAAGAATTAAAGAAATAGCTAAACTTAATGATAAATGGTAAAATCCCAATCTATCTACTGCTAATTAAGGCGTTTCTGAGGAAACTAAATCAGGTTAAACAGAAGATCGTAAAGAAGAAATCAAGGATGAGATTCTAGAATAGTTAGAAGAGACACTTGTTGGAAAAGGCATTGCGAATGCTTTAAAAATATTCAAGGAAAGAGGAATGCTTGGAAAGAATAAATTTTATGGCAGAAATAAGGATTAAACTTCTGAAGACTTGTTAAAAGGATTTGGAGATAATAATAATCAGGAAAATGATAGAGTCAAGCTTGTTCATATTGACAAGTAAGGACATATTCTTACTCAAAAAGAGGCATTCAGGCAAATGTGTTGGAAATTTCATGGAAAGATGCCAAGCCATAGAAAGCAAGAAAAAAGAAGAGCATAGGAAGAGATGGAGAACAAAATTAATTCTATTAGTCTTGGACTAAATCCACAAGCAAAAGTTTTAACCCCTGCTCGAAAATTGGGAAGTCTCAGTGGAAGTACTGGTACTAAAAAAGCAAAGAAGATTTGAGGATAATTTACCTAATTAATGTAAAATCTTAACTTAATTCAAACTAAGAGATAAATTTCATTTATAATTAATTCTTATTTGTGACATTTTGATGAAACAGGCTGGTGGGGTTTTGGGGTTTTGGGGTTTTGGGG